ATTATGAAACAGCATGCAATTGCACATTCTTTGCCCACAGATCAAACAATAAACATCGACTTACCATACAATTTTGATACTATCTTGCGAACAGAGTCGTCAGAACAGTTCTTATAGTAGGTTCATCTCAACTCGCATACATCAGCTTCATTTATAGGCTGTTTTGTATCCAGCGCAGAGATCTTTTTTCGTATCCAGCACAGAGATCGTAGTTTCCCAATAGAATCTGAACAAGTTGTTCACTTGTGTATGCTTTGTTTTGCCACGAGAAAACTGGAGTCATGGCATCGTCCTTGTATGGTTCACCAGAGGGTTTAAAACGTTTAGACGTCTCAACAACTGAATTGCCGCTACAAGATAATAAATAAAATCCTCACTTTCAATAATTCAACATTGGGATGGTTCAAAAAGAATAATTTTTTGTACCCATGTAAAAAACACCTTAAAGTACCTTCATGAGTCATTTCCAGCATTACGTTTCCTCTTGTTTTCATGACGGTTTTTTTCATTCTATATTTCAATAGAAAAAAAATACCCTGTCACTCACATTCGTTACTAACCAGAACGTAAAAAAACTTCACTTACCAAATCAGAAGAGACTTCACTCCCACTACTGACGAGCACATCCGCTTCATCCTTCTTTCGTTCCATATTTCTGTTGTACAATAACAGTACGTTAATATAGATATCAGTATACAGTAATATAAAAATATAACATTTGAATTGTTATTTGGTTGGCACAGCAATCACAACGACTTGATGATAATCTCTGAATTAAGTTGAAGGTGCCTATGTCATTGTAAGGGATTTACATTTTCGTAATATTTGAACATCACAAGACAAAACCGTAACTCACCTTCAGTTAAAAACCTCATCTTCATGGATTAATTTGCCATTAAAGTTTTGGACATGACGTCATATTGTTAATATTTGTGGCAAACAACATGTAACTAACTTGCAATTTCCGATATGACATCACTTCCAAAACGTAAATGCCATGTTAATCTATGACGGTTTCTAAAGTGAAAATGACGTCAAATAAAAGCGCACGTGTTCTGTCGTTGTGATTATGTTTAAAATGATTATTTATCAGTATCACATATTAATTACCTAGGTTTTCAATACTCGAATTATGCGGTTGTTCATTTTCATCTTCCACTTCGTTGCTATCCTGTATATAGAATTTATTTATTACATATCTAGTTATCTACACCCAAGATTTCGGGCAATGTTTAATTGATAATTTACCAGTAAGAACACAACGTTATGGAGAGAGCTAACCATTCAACTGTTTTCATTTTTCGACTCCGCATCAGTTTCTAAAGTGAAAATGACGTCAAATAAAAGCGCACGTGTTCTGTCATTTTGATTATGTTTAAAATGATTATGTATCAGTATCACATATTAATTACCCAGATTTTCACTACTCGGATTATGCGGTTGTTCATTTTCATCTTCCACTTCGTTGCTATCCTGTAAATAGAATTTATTTACTACATATCTACACCCAAGATATCGGGCAATGTTTAATATTTTATTATATTCATTTTGAAATCATTGGTGTTTTCTGCAATCTGATTGGCTAAAAATAGTGCGAGTAATGATTTGCTCACATTAGCAAACTTGAGAGCTTTAATTATTCACTCGATCTCCCTCAACCAACCAGTCACACAAACAAGAATTCAAGAAAAACAAGCAATCAGAATTAAAAGTTTAGAAAACTTTTTTTGTTGTTGTTGAACAATTTATGTTTCCATTTTTAAAAATATTTATCTTACAAATGCAAAATGTTGAATACTCGCAGTTTTCGGAAGATCATGTTGACCATCAGGCTGAAAATTGATAACATTATATTATCAAATCGGTTGACTGATGTCGTAAAAATCGTGAGATGGTGCGCATCTCGTCATATTGAAATGTAAACAATGAAACGAAACTAAAGCACCCCAAATAAGCTCGAATCAATAATTCCTCTGCAGCTGTCAATCTCGTACCCAGAGCCCATAACGCTGTTGCAATTAACTTCGAATAACAAGACTACGATTGTGCAGCTTTATTATCACGTGTTTGATTTCAGTCCAAATTGTACTTAACTCAGTGCAATTACCATTGCTAATAATCATTACAATAAACTGGGAGGCGAGATTTGTTTTATTTTTTCATATAATATAAAGCATTTAAAACTAAATTGTGAGTAGTTGTGGATATTTTTACGAGATACACGCAACAGTATGAACGAAATTTTTACATGGGAATAAAGATCGGGGTTATATAGCTATTGAATGACACATTATCTGTCCGACTTTGGGCACATCTGAGAAAATAGAAGGCTGATAAAAATCTCCGGTCGAAATAGCATATTTTAACCCCTGATAATTGAGTTCAAAACATTTGAAAATCTTAACGTGAAAATATGTCATTTCAGCCCGCAATATTCATAGGCCTCTTATTTGTTAAAATATACACAAAATCGGACCAGAAAGTGACATTGAATACATAAAAGCCTCACTCTCCTCCGCAGAGCCTTACAAAGTAAAATTACGTAATATTACTTTGGAAACAAATTACGTAATTGTTAGTCAAATTACATAATTGTTAGCCTTCGTTTCATGTTGTCAACGATCGGTCTCACCCCCCGTCGCGCACCACCAAATGTCCTCTACTATCCCTACATTATCCCTGAAATCCTATATAATTGACTCTGCGGAGGAGAGTGTAAAAGCCTGATCTTTATAGCTGCCTAAAAATTACGTTCATGCATGCATTCGCCGAGTAATTATCGCGGTGTGTCACGCTTAAGTTGGATTACATTTTACCTTTTTATATACCCTGTATATTAAGCACATAATTAGTTACTTACAAGGTCATATGCATAATTTGCAAGTTCATTGTTTGCAACAACAACTGACGGGCGCATTACATTTGATCCTAAAGAAATGGATTTAAAAACTTTGCAATAGTACTGTATATACTGACATGACTGGGTTTTTTTAATATGAAACAAATCCTGTGCATGACAAAATGGAAGAAACTTTGTTGATTATAACAATACATAAAAGACAATAAAACTGTAATCTAGTCTAGAAAATTGAAAAATATTTTCAGAGCGAGCCACAAGGACAGGGCGCTGGAGCCAGTGGCACTTTTCGTTAAGCCAATGCCGGAGTTGGCATGTGTTATTTCGGCTCTGAATGAAATGTCAAAATAATTACTAAGTACACATGACAAGAAAGTGTAAAAAACATTCTCTACAACTGCACATATTTTGTCGAAAATATCTAATATTATGTCGTACTCTCTGCTTGAAGCTTTTGTAAGCTGTGTTAAAAGATGTAAAAATCTATATTGTTTATTGGGTTGACTGTCCGTTGTATATCCGGTTAAAAAACTATATTTACTGTGTTTCGTAAGAACTGGTGTCCCAGGATTATTGCCCCCATAAATATCTTACATACACTAGATAGCGAATCTCTTTCAGTAAAATTGAAGCTAAGAATATTCCAGCGGTTGAATAGATGGCGGCCATGTTGGTCGTTCCCACTAGCTAATAAACGCTTAAAAACAACAATAACTTTCATCATTTGAATAGTTTAAAAACGTATTTGGAATAGGGTTAACTTAATGTTTAAGTTCCATGTTTAAGAAATAGAAAACATACGAATCTTCTCATTTCATGGGAACGACCTGAGACTGCAATCACGGCTTCAATTTTTGAATTGCAGAATAATTAGATGCACAATCTAGTGTAGATAAGATATCTATGCCCCCCTCCCCACACACACAATTTCGCCCCCAAGGGGGGAGGGGCGAAAGTCCTAGGAATTTCTCCCTCCTTTAGGAAATTCGCCCCCCCCTCTCCTTAGGAAATTCGCCCACCTTTTCTTTATGATTTTCGTCCACCATTCAAAATTTCACCCTTCCGTAACAGTTGCATGGGATAATTATTACATTGCTTTAATCATTTGAAATCAGTATCAATTCAAAATTGTTAAGAATTGAAGAGCTTGAAATAACAACCGATCAATGATCGGCAAGGAATTGCTTATGCTCGGCGGAAAAGCAGGGTTTCTGTTGCCAACCTGAAAATAATCATGACTGCCGATCACCATGATCGGGAACTTTGGGAACGTTATTTCAAGCCCTGCATGTAAGAATACAAATTTACAATTGCATGTATATCGAAATGGCTTACACAGTTACAGTAGATCAATAGGACCTATGACGCTCCACAGCACACCATGCATATTTTGCATTTTCAGTAATAATCCTTAAACTAATTGTTAAAAAGTAATCACCATGGTGGTTATTGTAATTATTATTACCTCCCTATGTAATCATCTGGGTGTGTGTGTGTGTTTGTCTGTGAGCACGATAACTCAAGAAATACCAAACATATTCATACAAAATTTTTTGAATGCATTTCCCATCGGCTAAGGAAGAACTGATTGAAATTTGGTTGAATTTGGTTAAAAATTGAACGAGAAATTAACAAAATTTTGTCTTGCTTTTCCCGGTCAATTAAAAAAAACTCACTGAATGCATAATTAGGACGTGTATAATGTATGCACGCAGTACTAAGACATCAAGACAATGAGATGATAAACTTCATTAAGCTTCAGCCTTCATTATCTGTTGTCTTAGTTGCATTTCACATGATCAAAATTCAATGGGGGTGGACGTATGCAGTCTCTTAGTGTCCTCTACTTGGTATTGTTTTGTATCCACGTTTTGTCGTTATCGGAAAATGTATGAAATTATGTTAATGTAAATGTAAACTGCCATAAGAATACGACAACATGATTTTATGCGATCTCTGTGGGCAATGGTTCCACTTTAGATGTGTAGAATATGACACTAGTCTATAAGTACCTCAAATGAGTGGTTATGCCGACTGTGCACACTACCAGCTGCTAATAAGCCTAAAATGTATATGTAATCTTGTCTACTTGTAATAAATAAATACATCACACAATAAATCTTTCAACTTGGATTCGTTTTGTTTTTAGATAAAAAATTCAAAATTTATGTGGGGGGGGTGCTATATCCTAGGAATATCGCCCCCTTTTGAGAGGGGTGGAGGCGAATCTCCTGGGGGGAGGGGGCAATTTCAAAAACCGGAGCTGCGCATGAGATTTTAGAATCAGCCGGAGCTAAAAAAAACAACTGGGTTTTGCACACCTTACGGATACAAGTCACAAATGACCTTTTTTGTTCGGAAAACCAGACCAGTCGACTAGTCACATAAGCTGATTATTCCATGCTCAGTGCTCACACATTATTGCATGATTAGACGCCAAATGGCAAAGGCGCGAACAAGACTTATCAAATACATATGCCATAGCCGCACGGCACCTTCCCGTTAAAAATAAATTAACTTAAAATGAAGATTGTAACTATAAGTCTGGGCTACTTATAATTATTCTTAAACAACCCAATATCACCGTGCAAATATACTGGCCTTTTATCAACAGCTGTTCGTTTTCTGTTCCTTTTCTGTTTTCGGAAATATCCCTGAACCAAAATAGGAATTAAAAACATTAAAAAAAGGTTTAATCGGTATAGAGATACAGTTTGGTTATAAAGTGAGGAATGGAATTATTACCTGTATATTTCCATTTATTTATGTAACTGCGAATTACTGTATGGAAACACCGGCTCTCAAATTCGATTTTAAATCAAACTTTAGCGCACACTATTAACCAAACTATAGGGATCCAAGGATAATGTAAAGTTTCAAATTGAAAAAGACACGGCAAGAACTGTATAGGGCCGCCGACAACCTAGAGCTGTAAGAGCAGGCATAGGCTAGAGCAGGCACGTTACTCAAAAATGTGGATTAGAACAACTTTTTTACGAGATAAACAATTCCTTGTCACTCCCTTCGTAATTCGTTTATTATATGTTGAATTGCAAGAGTTCTTATTTGGGTATGACGACTTTCTGTTCTGTAAAGCTGATGGCTTATACACTACGAAAAACATTTAGCACAGGCATTTCATTTCATTATCTATTATCTTTAATGCATTCGGCACATGAGTACAGCGACGTTGGAAACAAGCCTAACACATCAGAAATGTCGTGCCTCGATCGTGGAACTGATACAATTTATCTATTTATTGTGATGCTACACGTGACAAATCGAAATTTAAATTGTTGCACCAACAACCAAGTTTTCGATATTCTAAAACTACACTTGCATTTGGGAGCTTAATAAGCGTAATAAATAAATAAAGCGTAATAAATATATAAATAAATAAATACAATACAAAACGTCAAAAGCTAAAAAAGATTTATCGATTAAAATGAAAAAACAACATATTGCTCATTTTGTAGTCGAATTGCAGGCAACAGTACCTGTTCTAATCTAAAGTAACGAAAATTTCAGTGAAAATTTCAGTTAAAACTTGGAAATACGGATATGTGTCCTTTCAAATAATTTCAATTAATGACAAACCTTACCCATTTTCAAGAAAGTTGAGAATTTCAGAAACTTCAGGTCTATTGGTTGGATTGAATGATGCGCAATTAAAAAACGAACTGTGTACACGTTGCCATGGCCCAGTAACTTGAAGTTCCATAAATTGTGGCATTGGCGTTGGGAGCTCCTTTTTCTGCATATTTCTTCTATGAATGAACTGTAATCTTTTGTGTCCACACCATTTTGAACAAGATCGTACTTGTATGGGGAGTTTAGGCTTGGGTTGACCAAGTTATAGAAGACAAGTCCAAGTGCCCATATATCAACTTTCTTCAGGAAATCCATGGACCCACTATCATGTAATTTGGCTAAGTCTGGCAATGTTACTTCTGGGGCCATAAATGCAGCTGTGCCTCTTCCAAGGTTCTTGGTACAAGTCATGTGAAACGAACGTGTTTTGATCATGCTCGAACGGCTTTCACCGAAATCAGTAAGTTGGCATTTTACTGGACTGTTCATCCATATTTTCACTACCTCGGAGCTATCTTCAAGGTCACAGTTTGATGAAGATATTTCAAACCTTTCGTGACATCAACTGCTATAACTGGTACAACATGCTTAAATGTCTCTGACCAACTTTCTTCATCAACTTCATTTAGAAAGGACTTCAAAGTGCTAACTCTCAGATCTTTGTCGAAGAGTTTAAAGTCGAAATATATGTAATCGAACAGCAATGCAGGAGGAGCCATACAAATTCTGTTGAAACTAACAATATGTTCATTTTTACAAGCATGCAGTAGCCTTGCTTCTTTTACTAATATGTCTTTACTATCTTCTTCTATGTCATGTATAATTTTCACCACCTGTAATTTGTCTTTTTGTGTTTTCTTTGATGCCACAGATACAGTAGAAAAACTGCCTCTGCCAATATCATGTCCGATATCCAGATCGTTTATCAAATCAAAAACAGGCAAACCCTTTAAGACGTCCTTCAATTGTGAATTTTCCACTTGTTTTACCTTTGATGTTAATTTTGGCAGCGTGAACATTGTTATATTACCAGCCTAAAAAAACGAAATTAACAATACCAGCTAATTCAAATATTCTTTTCATGATTTGTTTTACACTCTTTTTTATACTAAATTTATATTATATAGTCCACTATAGCTTCATACTAAACTACATTATACGGTGCAACACATAGATAGTCATCAGACACTGATTGCTAACTTTATTTAGAATTCATTTAATCTTATGTTTATACTGAAATTATTGGGCAGTGATGGATTTTAGTATTTGTGAAATACATTAACTATAGACTGTATGTGTATAGTAGTATCAATTTATACTGGATATTAGGTGGACAGGGTACTTTGAACACTTTGCACATTCTTGAGGAGAGAGGGGCGGAAGTGCAGGACGTGCAATTGGCCCTTTCGTAAACCGCCAGGGTCACCATTAAGTAGTAACAATCAGTGTCACCATTTACAGCATACGTCATATCCGGTGAATATAAAATGGGGTATTCACCACGCAATGCACGTGTTTAACCATGTGTTAACAACAAGAAGTCATGAACTATACTGACTAGATGTCTCAATGTCCCAGAAGCTAGCGGCATATCAGTTTAATTTTTTATTGGGCCGCTAGCTTCGCATGGGAAGTATGAACTGCTATAGTCCTTGTCAATTAGTTGTGAATGACAACCTTGTAGCGACTTGATAAAATAACAGCACTGCATGTTGCAACTTGTTGACATTAAGCTTGCTAGAAGTCTGTTGTGAACACGTCTTGTTGAAAAGTTGTGAGATTTTTACGTGTGTAGCCAACCTCACCTTTTGAGTTTCATGGCCAGAAATCACAGACATGATTTATTCTACTTCCTTTGTAATTTGCATATCACATTGAAATATGGCTTCTGTTTAATACCGAAGCCATATTTCAACGGGTTATGTATTAATAGTAGTATTAGACCGTCTGTATAGCGGCGGAAGTGCAGTATAGCGGCGGAAGTAATTAGTATGCAGGAACGAGTAGAGCACCGGAAGTAATGAGTATGCCGGAAGTAATGGGTATGCAGGAGCAATGACGTCATGGAAACCTGGAAGCAAGGAAATGTTCAGAATGGCGTACAGCAGTGAATATTTGAAAAATTTATTAAGTTTTACAGTAGTTTACAGAGATTTTGATAATTATAGTGTTTTTAGAGATTGTGCCAGACGCATCCGCAGAAGGTTAATTCGCCACATTCTAGTGAGAAGTCGAATGTCAGGCTTGCCAGTATTTCGTTTAGGATTTCCGTACACTTCTTGTGGATTGTTGTTTGACAGCATCGGGTTTTCTTCAATTCTTGTCCGGTGATTTTGTTTTGTAGACACAGATAACAGAGTTCCTTGTCCGGGAATGGTGCTCTGCAGTACCCGCACCGTACGGTTTCGATATCTGTTCCAATGTAATGTGTCGCCCACATCTGGAGACACCGACAGTGGGCTTTTTGTTGGCAGCAATGCATTGTCATCGCCAGTAGCTCGTTTCCATTAATTTCTTCGAAACAGAAATAGAACTGTCCCGGTTCTGCTGTATTTTCCGCCAGGATTCCAAAGAGAGGTATGTTTGCTGGTGGTATGACATCTTCCGGCGCTGGTAGAACTCCTACGTATTCCATTTCGGTGTGTGGTTGATGATTATGGGGAAGTGTATTTATACTAGAGGTGTA